CATGGAGTCCATTTACTGGTATTGGTATGTATCTCTGTTTGCCCTCTTGGGATTAGATAACATCCTAGGGAGCTAGTCCCCAAAGAAAATGAATTTTTCCCTCTGCATCCATTCATTGTCTGTAGCCCTTCATCTTGAAGTGGAACCCTGTGAAATTTCCCCCATCCACCTTGGCATATCAACCGGTTTTTTCATTATGCAGATCTTGTTAGACCACCATACTGTAAAGATTTTATTGGTGTGGCTTCCCTATTATGTCTAGAATGTATTAACTAGCAGCAGGTGTGTAGTCCCTCTGGCTCTTACATTCTTTCTGTCCCATCTTCCAAGATGAGTCTTGAGTATAGAGGCTGCATTGTAGATGTATTACTTAGGGCTAGGTACCTCACATTGCTTATTCTCTGCGTTTGACCAGTTATGAACATTGCAATAATTTCCATCTATTGCAAAAAAGAAACTTCTTTGATGAATGATGAGTGGTATGCTTGAGTGTAAATATAAGGATATACATTTAGAATGTAGTAAGAAATCATTTTGGTTTAGGGAAGCGGCAGAAGTAGGTTCTTCTCTAGGGTCTAGGACCTCTCCAACCTTATATACTTGGCAGTGTTTACAGACATGCATGGATTCCTTCTCATTGAGCAGGCCCTAAGTCCAATTAGACAGCTATTGATTATCCCCAAGATAAAAGTACCACTAATGCACCAATAGAAATAGTTTGCTGGGCTGGTCATTGTGGTTCATAGACTTTAAAGCTGGGTAGGATCACTGATTGGTTTTCTCCCTTGGCAGCTTGCATAGTATCTTCTGATTCTATGAGAGCTAGTCTTTGGGGAGGAGGCTTCCAGGTCAGTTCCAGCTCAATTGCCCTAAGTCCTGTGTCTGAAGTGTGTCATGTATTTAACAAGAGGGTCTTACTGTCAAGTTCTGGGAGACAGTTAAGGGCTGTGGCAATAGCCCATATTATTTTGGGATTCTCTTGAACTTCCTTTACCAACAACATGAAGTGACGTTTCCCATGCCTAGCACTGTGATATTTGTTATTGTAGCCTTCAGCAGTATATAGGCACTCACATTTATATAATATGTTTATTTTTCAGTAAGCTTATTAAATACCACATTTCCCTTTGGTGTTTCACACCACCTGAACATTATCTATCTTTCTTCTCTCTCCCCCTGTATATGCTGCTATAGTAGAATGCTTCAGATGGGTGCCATATAATGAACAGAAATGTACTGACCTCTGATTTTGGAGGCTGGGACCTCCAAAGTTCAAGATGACAGCATCTGGCAAGTTGCTACAACATAACATGGCAGAAAGTGCTATAAGAGAGAAGACCGAAGGGGGAGAGAGAGCAAAAGGGGCCACATCAGCCTTTTAACTCATCAGTTAAATAATTGGCTAATTAATTTTTTGGGTTTTTTTTTTTTTTTTTTTTTTTGAGACAGAATCTTGCTATGTAGCCCAGGCTGGCCTTGAACTCCCAATCCTCCTACTTCAGCTTCCCAAGTGCTGAGATTATAAGAATGAACCACCACACAGGATCTGAACTCATCCTTTAGTAAACAATTTACTCCTGCAATGACTCCATAAATCTGTTCATGAAGTGGAGCCTCCGTTACCCAGTCACTTTCTGTTATATCCCACTAGACAACACTGTTGCCTTGAGGGCTAAATTTCCAAAGTGTATATTGAAAGACAACTTCAAATTACAGCATAGGGTTTTCCAGTTCTGTGAAGATATAAATAGATCCACAGTCAAATGGATCCACAGTCATGAACCAACAAGGAGCAGAGTGGGGAAAGGCCCCTGTACCTTCCTCTCCCTGTACTGCTGGCTTGCAGGGCTGGGAATCCATGGCCTCTCGGTTGGGGTGAGTGTGTGTGTGTGTGTGTGTGTGTGTGTGTGTAATCTTATGCTAAAGGCATTTGACTCAATCTACTAACTATGGCTCAAATAGTCATGACAACCTTGGTCTCAATAGGTGGAGAATCAGGCTAAGGTCACAAGGCACTTTGTAAAAGAGCACAAAATAAACAACAGATTTTACAAATAAGATTTAGGGGAGCCTGCACCAACCTGGGTGTCTTCAGAAGTCAGCTGAGGGGCCTCCTCTGTCTACAGGAAGGAAGAGAGCAGTCGGAACAAGGGTGTACTGGGACAAGGAAAAGAAAGTCATTCATTTGACCTAAGAGCAGAGATGGGAGCACGCTCCAGAGTCTTTGAGGTTCTATCTCTTTTTTAAAAATTGAAAATATTTGCCAAGTATTGTGACACATGCCTTTAATCCCAGCACTCTGAAGGCAAAGGTAAGCAAATCTCTGTGAGATTGAGGCCAGCCTGGTCTACATAGCAAATCCCAGGCCAGCTGGGGCTACAGGGAAACCCTTCTCAAAAACCAAAACAAAAAGCGAAAAATTAAAATTGAATTAAAAATATTTAAGCAGTACACCCAATTAATCCTAGCACTTGAGGGACTGGAGAAGGAGGAGTTCAAGTTTGAGGTCTGCTTGGGCTGCATAGTGAGACTGTGTCAAATATACAAAGTAGAAAAGTTTAAATACCTTTTGAAGTTTTATTTTTAATTGATAAATGTATCTGTCTATATGATATACAGTATGATGCTTCCATACAATACACACTGTGGAGTAATAGAATTGTCTCAGATACTTATCACCTTTCTGTGGTGAGAACCTTTAAATTCTCTCTTTGAGCTATTTCTCAAGTACCTCACTGAGTTGTTGAGGAGTTAACATGAAACAGTCTGTGATATATAGGTCATGATGACTTCAGTATGAAGTATCTCCCACAGGTTCATATTACCGGGGCTTGGTTGCCAGCTGACAGGCTTTGGGGAAGTACTTGGATCATGAAGACACAGCTTAACCTGACAGATTATGAAATTTAACTGAAAAATTATTAAATTTTGCTAGAAAACAGAGCACCTCCTAATCCTGCAATGGTCCAGATGATCTACTCGCATCCTCTGAATCTAAGCATTCAGCAGTTCACTTTGCCTCTTCCTCTGCAGCCCGATGGGGAGGTGACTTTGAGACTTGGGGCTACCTGGAGGGAACAGGCCTAAGGTGGTGTGCCTTAGGTTGTACCTGGTCCCTAGACCTGTCTGGGCTCTCTGCTTCCTGTCTGCCATGAGGTGAGCAGCTTCTGCCACATACGCACATTGCCATGATGCTCTGCCTCACCATGGGCCCAGACTCAATGGATCCAAGCAATGTGGAACCTCTGAAATTGTGAACCAAAATCAACCCTTCCTTCCTTAAATTGTTTCTGTCAGGGATTAGAGCCAACATTATTTCTCTGTAATTATTAGTTCTCTTACCTTTTCCTCTTCTCTCCAGTGTAGGAATTAGAGGTCAAAATTCATTTTGTGTTTCTGGGTCTTCAGAAAATACACTTGAGGTACACTATTAAATGTTTCTAGAAAATAGAGTACCTCTTTATCTTACAGTCGGCTAGATAATCTATGACATCATCTAAGTCTAAATGTTCCACAGAGCTTGCCTCCCTGCAGATCATGGGATAGCCCTACTCTTATCTTCTTATTCACATTCTTTCAGTGGTGTAGTTACTTCCTTAGTATTTGGGCTTATAAAATCCTAACTGTAGGCCTGAATTTTCTCCCAAGTTCTAGTGGCACAGATCCAAGCATGCCTATCAAGGGGGATCCCACTGAACCTCATAAACAGGCTGTTGTTTGGTTATTCATTCAGCAAATATGTGTGGACAGGGGAGTGTGTGTGTGTGTGTGTGTGTGTGTGTGTGTATGAAAGGAGCCAAATACAGAGCTGAGGCATTATGGTCTTCAGTGCCATTAGAAACAGTCTAAACCTAAAGGAGTTCTTGGTTAGAGAAGAGACTGACCAGACAATGATGCTATGATACAAGGTGCACTAGAGAGGAGTTGAAGGAGATAGAGCAGCCAGTAGCCACCCTAGAATAAAAGAAAAGCCAGGCCTGACCTGCTAAGGTCCTGGGTCACATCACCAGGGCTGCCCACAGACAAGTGGGCAGTGTGAGTCCATCAGGAATTCCTGTTCTCCACAAGCTGAACATGAAGCAACCACAGTTTGATGTAGCCAGGTAGCAGAACCAGAGAAGAGAGAATATTCCATCAGGGCAGAGGTGGCTAGTGCTCTGGTCTCCTGAAGGATCTGGCTCTCCTGAAAAATGAAAAGTACAAAACATGACCCACGGTGCCCTATGGCTCCCTACACTTATGCAGGGAATGCTGAAAGTTAGCATTGCCCAACATTCTGTGTCCACATGGGCATGTGGCATCCATCACCTTTGGTGAAGTAAACATCATAAGGTGCTTCAGCAGTAGAGAAACTGTCCACATGCAGATAGGCCCAGTGACACATGCAGGGGCTGAGGGGATCCAGCCCTAAAGAGAGTGACTGAGAAGAACCAAAGACAGAAAGAGCAGAAGAGACACAGTCAGAAAAGAAACAGTCAGAGGGAACACCACAGCCACTCCCAACCAATTCCTTTCCAAGCCTGCTGAGATAGTACTCGGCAACGTGACACAGTAAAGAAAACATGATCCCGGGGTCAGACATTTTTGAGCTCCATCTGGGGACCTTGAGTCAGTCATTTGCCCTCCATGAACCTCAATGTTGTAATTTGTAAACTGGGGGCAGAGAGGGACTGGATCAGACTTGATGTATGAAAAGCAAAGTGCATATTTAAAGGTCTTTTAAAAAGACAGTGACCTGGGCATAGTGGCACATTAGTTCCAGTGGAAGCAGAGGCAGATAGATCTCTATGAATTTGAGGCCAGCCTGGTCTACATAGTGAGTTTCAGGTCCACCAGGGCCACACAGTAAGATCCTGTCTCAACAAATAAATTAAATAAATAAATAAATAAATAAATAAATAAATAAATAAATAAATGAATGTTGTCCAGTGTTCTTAAATTTGAGTGCGTTTTGTCTTCCAGTTTTTTCCTTTGTGTGTGTGGCGGTCAGAGGTAAATACCAGATGTCTTCCTCAACTGCTCTCCACCTTATTTTTTGAGATAGGGGTTCTCACTGAAATTAAACTTATCATTTCTGTGAGACTGGTTGGCCAGCAAGCTCCAGGGATCCACCCATCTCTGCCCAACCAGCACTGTGATTACAGAGGCATGCTGTCGTATCTGGTATTTTATATGAGTACTGAGGATTCAAACTCAGGTTATGCTATATGGCAGGGACTTCACTGACCGAGTCACCTCCCTGGTCTCTGTCCTCTCTCTTTTCTTCTCATTCTGTATCAGATTCCTAGACTAATTCTTGTTAACCTTTTCTCCTCTTTCATACCCTTCTCTTCTCTCTCCTTCTCTCCTCTCCTGTCTTCTCTTCCCCCCTTCTCTTTCTATCAGGTCTTCTCAGCCTCTCAATGAACTTGGGGTAAAGGCAGCTATGGGGCTCCTTACCTGTTCCCATCCTGACCCACTCTGCCCATGGAGAAGGCTCCTGGGTATCTAGCCTGCCTTTCTTACACCAGCTAGAAGGGGCTTATTGGACCCCAACTTCTACTATACATAGTCCACACATTTCTGTGGTGCCCACCACATTCTGCCGGACACAAGGATGACCGGCACCTACAATGGACTCTGCTGAATTGGGCCCTTGTCTACAGAAGCCAGTCCATTGTTACATGGGTTCCCACTTAACATTTGTGCATTGTTCTGCAGACCAAAGTGTCCATTACCACTGATGGTCTCACTACATTCATTGTCTTGGCTCACCTGGAACTCACTATGTAGACCAAGCTGGTATAGAACTCACAGAATTGCATCCACCTCTGCCTACTGAGTGCTGGGACTAAATGTATGTGCCACCACACCCATCAATCTTCCCTTCTTTTTGAGACAGGGTCTCATTCTGTAGCCCAGGCTGTACTGGAATGGAACTCATGATCCTCCTGCTTCAGCTTCTCAAGTGATGAGTTATAAGCATGTATCACTACACTCATCTAATTTCCCCCATTTTCCTAGTAACAGATTCCCCAAAAGGAATTCCATCACCATGACTCTTCCCTGCCCCTGCCCACCAGAATCTCATCTGGTGAGGAGAAATCAGTTCATATCACAGGAGAGGAGATTGGAGGCTTACATTATTTCCAGTTGATTTTGTCACTGGCTGCCACCTAGTCTCAAAGTCTGTTCATCCTTTCCCCAAATCATTTACTCCCTCCTGAGGTGCCTACATTACTACCTGTTTCCCATATAAAGATATTAAAGAAGCTTCTAGATCTTGCTGAGTGCTACATACTCACTTTTCCTCTCTGATGGCCTGTGTACACAGTAAATGCAAATATCTTTCCTGTTATTCTGCCCAGCTGCAGTCTATTTCATAGTCTTAGAGATCAATGTCCCAGAGAGAAGGCAAAGGGACTGCTTTCCCACCCCCTGCCCCAATTACAAAAACAGCATGTGCTGAAAATGCTAATAAATAAATAATAATACTTTTACCTAGGTAACTCCTGATACTAACCCAATAAGGGAGTGAATGAACGTTATCTAACCTGGTTTCCTATGGAACATTTCAGTGGTTTGTATAATCAAGCTCCCACAGCCAAAACTACATGCTGTGTTTGAAAATTTTTAATTACCTTTAGTTTTTACGGGGTTGGGGAGCACATGCCATGGTGCACATGTGGAGGTCAGAAGACAACTTGTAAGAGTCACTTCTCTCCTTCTACTATGTCCCCAGGGATAGATCTCAGGTCATTAGGCTTGATGGCAAGCGCCTCTACCCAGTGAGCCAGTCTTTATTCCAGTCTTCATTTACAACAGATAAAAGGCACTATTACCACGGTCCAGGGCTGTTACAGGTCAAATTCCAATCTGATTATCTTTAAAAGGCCATAAAACCACATCATAGCAAAGACAGCTTCTAGTAAGAGAATGGGGTTTGTGGGGTTTAAATCTCTTGGTTTGTCAAATACACATTCTGTTATCTTCTGGTTTCAGCACAAGCTCTACTAGCAACCCAAAGTCTCAAGTATGCTGTTACTAAAGGAGATGGATGGAACAGCTCGCAAAGCCATGGCATGGAGAACATTAGCTAGAGATTAAGGGGAAAATGTACAAAGGAAACTAGAAAAAGGACAGACAAATGGGGAATTTAGTGAGATTTAGTGGGCCAGTGCTCTGCTGTGCCGACATGGGCTCCCTCTGGGCGGCTTTCTTCAGAGGCCTTGATAGGGTGATCTGGCAAGACCAGGAGCAGGCAGGCCTGCTGGGGAAATATTTGTGGACTACCCCTGACCCTCTTCTATGACTTAAGGATTTGAAAAAGTTATAAAGAAGGATTACTGGGAGGCAGGGCCTCTCCTTTCCTCCCAACTCCACTCAGCCTGGCCCGTCAGCTCCATGGCTCAGTCTCTGTTAAGGAGAGGCTCAGCTGTGGCTCAATGAACTACTTCTGAGCTGACCAAAACCACGTGTGAGTGGTCGTGGCTTCAGTGCAGATGTTCCATGCTAATTTATGACATACATTCAAAAGCAAGATTGCTTTTTTTTTTTTTTTGCCTTTTTAGATTGTGTCTTGTCTTAATGATGTCAGTGCCCAGAAAAGCCCATCTCAGGACTGATAACAGACTGTGAGGTGTCGCTTCAGACATGTTGTCATGTGTCTGCTGACAGAAATATGAGATGAACCATTGCTCACTTTTCCTCAGCAAAGGGAAGGAAAAGGCCACCATGCCCCAGAGCATGTAACAAAGTAGCAGTGGGGAAAAGGGATGCATTGTGACCACACAAGAGTGTTGCTCACAGGTAGGCGCTGAGGATGGGCTATTCCACAGGAAACTGAGGCAAAGGGAAGAGGGACAGACAGGCAATAACAGCTGCTTTTGGAAAAATCATTTCTGTGATGTAGAAAATGTAGATTAAGTACAAAGACTGAAACCACTCTCTCTTAGAGCTCAACTTTCAACAGTTCCTACTAAATGCTTCCTCGAAGCACAAGATACTGCCTGGAGGTGTCACCCCACATCGTGCTTCCCATTGCTCAGGATCCCTGTGCCTAAACTATAGAAGCCCTGGGCTCTTTCTTCTGAAGCCCAGATTGGCCTTGAACTCACTGTGTTGCAGAGAATGGCTTTGAACTTCTGATCCTCTTGTGTCCCCCACCTCAAGTGCTGGGATTACAAGTGTGAGCCTGTACGCCTGGGTTTATGTGGTGCTGGGGATGGAGCCCAGGCCTTGTGCACACTAGGCAAGCACTCGACCAGCTGACCGTAGTCTATGTGGCTTTCTGAACAGCCCTTGTCAACACCTAGGATGAGTCTGAGTCAGTGTCACAACTGCTCCTGGGCCTTAGCCCTTTACTGTCTCCCATCCCTCCTGCCTGCAACCCCATGCCTTTTTTTCCCCTTTCTGGGATGCTTTGGATACAAAGCCTGGATGTAGAAAAGGTTTCCAAGCAATAGCTCGTGAGTGAGTGTGTGTGTGTGTGTGTGTGTGTGTGTGTAATATCATAAGTCAAGAGGTGGAGGGGGTTCATAACTAATGGTTCCAAGAGCTCCACAGCAGGCAGGGGACTGTGGTTAACAGCCTGGGAAACAAGAGAAGCAGCCTTACATTCAAGAGGAGTTTGGCTGGACCAAGGAAAGGCTTACCAACCTTCTGGAAGTCTTGGGTAAGTTCTAGAAATAGTGGTACACGAAGAGGCAGCCCCATCTATCTAGGAACACTTAAATGATCATTTGGAAGATGAGAGGTTTATAATGTTATGATCTCTTTCTCTCTCTCTCTCTCATACACATACACACACACACACACACACACACACACACACACACACACCCCTTTCCTAACAATCAACCAATCTTTCTTGGCAGGTTTACACCTCAGCCTTATGAGAAAAATAAATGTCTTTTTGCAAAAAGAGTGCTTGAATAATTTAAAAAATTTAAAATCCCAGTATCCATTATGTCTCTATATAGTATCGTGCCTTTGGATATTTAAGTTCCTGTGTAGGTTGTGGTAGCACAAATCTATAAGCACTCAGGAGACTGAGGAAGAAAGAATTTGAGTTCAAGATCAGCTGGGCTACACAGAAAGACCCTGTTTCAATCAAACAAGTTTATTTATGCTTAAAATTTAAATACACTTAGGACAAAAGTAGGGCCCATCAGTACAAATAAACAACAGCTGGTTGCCACAGGACTTTCTAGCTTTGATTCACTTAACACTTCAGACATCCTGCCTTGGCCTTGTGTGGTCCAGGACCTAGGCCTGCCTGCTATCCTGGAGCTTAGATTTTACTGAGGCAAACTCTCCCTTCTGCTGGTGAGGACATAAGCCTGCTTGTGGATTTATATTGCTCTAGGTCTGAAAGTCAAATTAATAGGCAACTGGAATACTGGGGAAAATACAATTTTGATAATGTAAATTGTCCTAATATCAAAAGAGCTCTTACAAATCAATAAAATACGAATGCTACATAGAAAAATCAAAAACAACCAAAACCCAAACCCAAGTAAAGAAACTAAGAGATGATTCAAAGGGAATAAATACAACACGATAAAAGGGTGCATGTGTGGGGTAGGGGGGCAACTGAGAAGAATGTTACCAAATCACAAGTAACTAAAGAAACGCAAAACAAAGCAACAACCGGATTCTTCCTCACTTTCCAAACTGGTAAACACTTGTTTTGTTAAGGGCAAAATTCAATATTGGCAGGGATTCAGGAAAACTAATCTCTTTTATACTTGGGTAGAAGTGTAAACTGGCAGTGTTTCTGGTAGGAAACTTGGGATATTTGCCAGTGGCCTTTTAACCTTGCATGTCTCATTTTGGGCATGGTAGGGAATTCGTTAAAGACTTAGGCTGCATCCGCAGATTCAGTATTACTTGTGTGTGGGAGGGGCAGTTGTACCTGTGTGCCAGTGCGTACTTATAGCGGTTTTCTCAGGTTCCATCCACCTTTTTCTGTGAGACAGGATCTCTCACTGCCTGGAAACTCTCTGATAAGGCTAGGCTGGCTGGCCAGAGAGCCCCAGGGACTCTGTTTCTGTTTCCCCAGAGCTGAGATTACAAATACACGCCACTATGCTTGGCTTTTCTTTTTATAATGTGGTTTCTGGGGATCAAGCTCATGTCCTCATGCTTGTGTGGCTAGCACTTTGCCAACTGAGCTATCTCCCTAGACTACAAATCAATGATTATTAAAGAAAGTCTCTTTCAGCCATGTGTGTGGTGACACATGCCTTTAATCCCAGCACTCAAGAGGCAGAGGCAGTTAGATCTCTGTGAGATTGAAGCCAGCCTGGTCTACATAGCACATTCCAGGCCAGCTGGGGCTACAGGGAGCCCTGTCTCACACACAATTTTTTTAAAAAAATGTAATAGAGGGTTGGCAAGATGGCTCAGCCAGTACATGTTCTTGCTGTGCAAGACTGGTGACCTCAGTACAACTCCTAGAACCCATATAAAGGATGAAGGGAAGAATTAATTCTACAAAGCTGTCCTCTGATGTTGACCTCCATATGTATGCTATGGGACGTGTCACACACACACACACACACACACCACACACACACACATGCACACCCACAAGTACATCAAATAAATTAAGACACTCCTGCCCACCTCCCACCCCCTACTGTGCAGGCTGTCTCCCAACAGTGAACACGCCTAACAATGGTCACTTGTACACTCACAGAATGGTCATCAGATAAGTTTTATGTTGTGAGCAGGGACCTGGGTATCCAGACTATGCGCTTCTTCCCTGCCACACTGGCCACCTGAACGTATGATATGGTGCTTTGCTTTCTTGTGTCTGTCTGGCCTTCAATAAAGCCTTTGACCTGTCACCTGGTGAGTGGGACAGCTGACCTGTTTCACTGCAGTCCCAGTGAGTCCTCACCCCAGCCTCAGCAGCCCTGCTACACAAAGGCATCTGACTTCCAAGTTGCCACACGCAAGAGCTACTTTTCTGTCCTTCAGCCTCACTGACATAGCTGGCCTTAAAATAAACTCTGCTCTTTTTTCTTTTTTTTCTTTTCTCTCTTTTTCTTTGTTAATGACTTCTTATTTTAATGTATTTTATTTATTGTTTTTACTTTATGTGTATGAATGTGTTGCCTGCATGTATGTGAGTGCACCCATGTCATGCAATGAAGCAGAGATTAGAAGAGGGCTTCAGATTCCCCTGGAACTGGAGTTAAGGATGGTTCATAGCCACCATGTAGATGCTGGGAATTGAACCCAGGTCCTCTGCAAGAGCAGTTAGTGCTCTTAACCGCTGAGCTATCTCTCCAGACCCTCTTTTTTCTTTTTAGATTGATTTTTATGTGTGTCTGTGTGTGTATTCCATGTGTGTGCCGGTGCCTGTGGAGGCCCGAAGAGGGTGTTGAATCCCCTAGAGTTGAGCTACAGGTGGGTGTAAGCTGTCCAGTGTGATTGCTGGGAACTGAACTCATGTCCTCTGGAAGAGCAACCATTCCCTCCAGTCCCTCCCCTCCCCTCCCCTCCCCTCCTCTCCCCTCCTCTCCCCTCCTCTCTCTCCTCTCCTCTGAGATAGAGCCTCACCACACAGCCCAGGCTGGCCTGGAACTCTCGATCCTCCTGCTTCAGTGCCCTGAGTGCTGGAATCACAGGCACAAGTCACCATGCCCTGCTTGCAATCTGCTCCTGTTTCAAGACCCTTCTGTGTCCCAGTGTCCTGCTGGCTCATTGAGCATCTGGAGGCCTTGCTGGCTCTGCCTTTCCTCAAAGGCAGAGTGCCAGGAACCTCAGGCTCTGACTTGGCCTTCTCAGCCCCCCACCCCCACCCCGGCCCAGCATTTTCTTTCTGGATCAGCTCACCCTTAGCTGCACATGCAAGTTCTGGTCACTCCCAGATCTGGCCTCAGCTGGGCCCCCACTGGCCTCCAAAGTTTGCCTTCAGTTGCCTCCTTGACCCTTCATGGGATGCCACGCCCACTCACTCAGTGGTGCACACATGAGGATCCTCGTATGTTCCTACAACTTCCCCAATCACTCTGTGCTCATACTCGGGGAATCTTGAGGCAGTGCAGTCCAAAACACAGCATTCTAGTTTTCGAAGCAGTCTTTTTCTAAGTTGTAAAATCCCAGAACTATTTATATTTAAACATTATCTCAGTGGCAGACTCTGTTTGGGACAGGAAATGTGTAAAATTAGCTTAAAACATCTTGGAATACCAGAAAGCAAAGAATCTATCAAAAGAATCCTCAGGCCATGCCAAAAGGACTCAGGAGCCAACTGGAAGCGTCTCTCTGTCTAAAGATGGAAACACTTGAACAATAAAAACAGTAAGTGCCGTGGATTAAAAATACCCAAAATGTTAAACCCGTGAGTCCATAATGACACTTTAGAAACCTCTTCTCTTGCTTTTCATCTTCTGAAGATGGAAGAGAAGCAACATGTTGCTGTAAATAAAAGACAAAGGAAATGTTCCCAGTATATCATGAGCTCCAGAGACAACAAAGTGCTTGATAAGGGGCATTTCTCTCCACAGATGTCCTGTTCCAGCTAATACACAAAGGACTGGGTTAGAATATCACATATTTGGGAGCTTCTCATGAAGTTACTATTCTCAGCAATGAGAATTAATGATGGCTAAATAGAATTGAAGAAAACTAGACCTCATGACACTGGATTTGGCCATGCTTTCTGGATAGGAAACCAAAAACAGGCAGCAAAAATAACAGTAGACAAATGAGACAACACAAAAATTTAAAACTTCCACACAAGAGAAATATAGTAGAAAGAGTAAAAAGATGACCTGCAGAGGGGCAGGACATATTTGCAATTCATTTATTTGGTAAGGGGTTAGTATCCATAATACATAAAGAACTCACAATTTAACAACAACAAAAACCAAAAAAAACAATTAAAAAATGGGCAAAGAACTTGCATAAACATGTCTTTAAAGGTAATGTACAAGTGAAGTATGAAGAGATGCTCAGTATAATTAATCATTAGAGAAACACAAATCGAAACTACAATGAACTATTATATCCATTAGGATGGATGAAAATAAGTGTTTGTGAGGATGAGGTGAAATTGCAATGGTTGTTAGGAATGTAAAAGGATGAAACCACTGTGAAAAACAAAATGGGGATTTCTCAAAAACTTGAAAATGCAGTAAGTTGCCATGTGTTGTCATGGTGATACATATCTGTATTTCAACAATCAAGACATGGAGGAAAGAGAATCAGAAACACAAAATCAGCCTCAGCTACAAGTGAAAGGCCAGCCTAAGCTATGGGAGACCCTGTCTCAAAAAAAAGTTACCATAAGATGCATCAATTCCATTTCTGGGTATATACCAAAAAACTTTAAAAGCATGTTCTCAAAGATGTGTTTGGATAACCATGTTCATAGTCATATCATTCACAAGATCTGAACAATAAAAACAACCCCAGTGTACATTGAGGGATGAACGTATAATCAAAATGTGGTCGTATATAATAGAATATTAGCCTTAAAAAGGGAGGGAATTCTGACACACACACCACAGCATAGATGGATCTCGTGGGTATTATGTTAAGTGAAATAAGCTAGTCCCACACAAAAGAAAAAAACCTCACAAATTATATGGTTCTATTCTTATGTACCTATAGAAGTCTGTTCACAGAGACAGAAAGCGAATGGTGTTCAGGGTTTCAGTGGTGAGAAGAATGTGGACTTACTGAATGAGTGTAGAGTTTCCAGTTTAGGAAGATGAAAAATTCTGGGGCTGGATGGTGGTGGTCATTGCACAACTGCGGAACACACCATGACTGCAACTTAAAAATGCTGGGGTGACAAATTCCATGTACGTAGTTTTATTTTTCATCACAATCAAAAAGAAGGAAAATAAAAGAAAGGAAGGAAAGAAGGGAAGAAAGAAAAAGAGGGATGGAGACAATTAGACACATTTCTCCTGTGGAAGAACCTACTGCCACCTATGAAACAGTCTTGCCAAAGTCAAACTGATTTAAATCTGACCAGGCCTCTGAATCTGACTACAAACTGCCAGACAGAGGAACACGTTAAGCAATGTCACATGGAAGCAATCAGCAAAACACAGACTGTGGGAAACGCCACAGGAAAAACAACTGAATTTCTTCAGTAAATAAATTTCAAGGAAAGGGGGAGAAAAGGAACAGGATGGAGAACCACATATTAAGAATCTTAGTAGACGTGAAATCTAATGCAGTGTCTGGGACTTATTTGGACCCTCATTTGGAAATAAAAGCATTAAAAATTACAGTGCAATAGAGAATGGCTGATAGTATTCAGGAATGGAAATACTTTCAAGTTCTTTTTTTTTTTGAAGTTATGTAGTAAAGCACTTAT